TTGTGACATCAAAGCTGCTTTCGTCAGGTTCCTCAATCTCATCGGGTGCAGTGGGCCTCTGAAGCCTGGAGAGGGCATCTGCATAATCATTCTTCCTTCCAGGCCGGTATTTGATATCGAAGTTAAAACTCGACAACTGTGCTAGCCAGCGTTGTTCAACTGCTTGCATATTTGCTGTATTCAGGCGGACCAAAGGGTTGTGATCTGTGTACACTGTGAATCTGCCGCCCATCAAGTATTCCCGGAATTTCTCAGTGATGGCCCACTTCATCACTAGCAGCTCTAGTTTGAACGCACTGTAATAAGCATCATTCCTCTCTGCCGTCAGATGACCACGACTAGCATAAGCTATCACTCTGTCTCTGCCACCCTGCTCTTGAGAGAGAACAGCCCCAAGGCCCTCGTTGCTCGCGTCAGTGTAGAGGAGGAATGGCTTGGAGTAGTCAGGGTAGGCAAGAACCGGTGGGGACATCAGACACTAGCGAAGATGGTCAAATGCTTCCTGGCATTCTGCGGTCCAGACAAACGGCGGGGCCTTCCCCGTCTTCTTGGAATCCTTCTTGGGCTGCGATGTCAGAGCATACAGGGGCTTGGCAATCTTTGAAAAAACCTTCACGAACCTCCTATAATATCCTGCAAAGCCTGGGAATTGCCGTACAGCTTTGGCCCAGGTTGGGACAGGCCACTCCTCCAACGCTGAACATTTGACCGCGTCATTTTGGATGCTTTCTGCTGATGCCACATGCCCAAGGAAGTTGATGGAGCTCTTGAGCAGGTGACACTTGGAAGGTTTTGCCTTGACACCATGTTCTGCTAAGCGAGAGAAGACCATGTTCAACCCTTCAAAATGTGATGTGAAGTCAGCAGAGAATACAATAATGTCATCACGGTTAAACATCAGCGTCTCACAGGACTGATCTCCAAAACACCGCTCCATGAATCGCTGAAAAGTTGCCGGTGCATTACTCAAGCCAAATGGCATCCTGTTAAACTCATACAATCCCATAGGAGTTGTGAAAGCCGTCTTAGCCCGGTCAACTGGGATCCATTTCAATCTGCCAGTAGCCGCTCATCAGGTCAATGGTGGAGAAATATCTGGGGCCACGGAGGGCATCCAGGGACTCATCAATTCTGGGCAATGGGTAGGCATCAGAGGTGGTGACTGCATTAAAGCGTCGGTAGTCAACACATAAACGCAAGTCTCCACACTATTTCCTTACCAACACGATAGGAGAAGCCCAAGGGCTGGAGCTCTCCCTGATGACGCCCTTGCTCAAAAGGGCCTTGAGGTGGTCTTTCACCTCCTGGTACAGGTGTGGGGGGACTCGCCGATACCGTTCCTTGATGGGTCTATTCGTCTCAGTGGGGATCTTATGTTTTACTGTGGTGGTCTTCCCAAAATCGTGGCTGTCTTTGGAGAAAACATCCTGGTGTCAATGAAGAAGAGAGCAAAGCTGCCCGAATTCATCTGTGGTCAAATCCTCTCGACCAACATTCACTGGCACTGGCAGCTCCTGTGGTGTGATCTTACACCCATCCTCTGTCTGCTCCCGAAGACTCACTTTCACCTTATGTAACCCCAGTTCGACCAGCTCCAGCTTGTCCACAGATGGTGCACTCTGCAGCACTTCAGTCACACCACTCACTTGTGCTAGCCTCATTCCACTGTGTACCTTGACATCCCACTGATTAGGGTTGGCTACTCGAACAGGAACAAGGCCCTTTGTGGTTGTACAGACACTCTTGGCAATCATGAGATGTTTGGGCAGGAACTTCGCAGGGGTTGACTCAATCAGGACTGCACTCTCATGCACATAAGAGGGGTGGCATCGCCCAGGGATGACCATTTCTGTGCCGGCAGGTATAACTATGGGGCGCTGGTTGGCTGCACGGACGATATCAGATGGTGGCCTGGAGCGCCAGGACCAAGGCTCTGTCTGCATCGTTCTTGAAAAGAAAGACGCTGACTCCTTGAAAAGCAAATCTTGACACCTCCGCAGCACGTTCATACCAAGAATGGGTCTGGTTGGGGTCTCAGTCGGCTTGAGAATGAACAAGACGGCCTGCTCAACCTGACGGCCCATCAAGTGCACATCTAGCTCTACCACACCTTGGTATGGGATCTGCAGGCCATTGGCGGCTACTAAACGGATGTAAGGCTTTGCAAGGCTAATCTCCTCGATGTTAGTCTGGAAGTATTCCCTGAAGACCTCGTATGGTATTGTAGAAACCTGGGACCCAGTGTCCAGAAGACAGGTGACCTCCTGACCTCCCAGAACAACAGCGATGTAGAGGCAATCCCCGACGGCCTTACTAGAGTGTTCCAGTGTCTGGCCCTCGACACAGGAACATTGTAGTTTAACGGAGCCAGTCGCTGCCTGGTGTCACACTCCTTCGCCATGTGCCCCGGCTTGTCGCATCTCAAGCAGATCGGGTTTCCTTTGTCGTCCCATCTGGGTTGCAGTCGCGGGGGTCTCCTTATATTGGCAAATGAGGAACTGGAACGAAGCTGGTTTAACTCCAACCTCATGACTGCCATCATCTCTGCCATTTTCCGTTGCTGCTGGACAGTCCTCTCAAGGGTGGCGTGGAGGATTTGCATTTGAGAGGGGTCCTGGGGGATCTGCATCGGGGAGCAGGGTTGACGTTCTGCTTCAACCCTGCAAAGACATTGACCTTAAGGTCAATCGGCACGAAGCTGATGTGGTGGGCTGCAGGTGCCGGTGCAGCTCCACCATTAACCACATTCTCTCCTTCCATGATGTAGGTGCCAACAATCCCACTACTGACACATGTAATGGGGGTGGGGGGTTGTGACCCTTGATTGCTGGCAGGCTGAAAAGGAGAGAACACAGACAAAGTGGTTGGAATAGGTAGTGAACGGTACAGCACTGAAGCATGTTCAACAACAAATCCTCATCAACAAAAGAACTTACTCTAAGAATCATTACTACAAAATTAAACAAAGCATAAAGAGAAAAAAAAAGTATATGTATAAACTCTCATACAGGGACCTTCATCTGTCACTGGTCTAATTAAAGATGGAGCCTACTCCACATGCCAGAATGATAAAAAAACCTTCTGGACCGTGCCCTAGTAGTGGCACCAAATCTGTTCACAAATCCAAACAAAACCCTGATTGATAAAAACATAAGACTCTAGGCTCTAAACACTGGTGGGACTCTAACTTCCCAAAATTAACAATCCAGACACTGCGTAGCCTGGCACTTGCCTCTTGTTCAATCAGGCAAAAGGGAAGCAGCAATTTCCATAATCAATGACACCGTCCCAGGCTAGCCTGGCCACTACCAGCTACCCTACACAAGCCCCAAGGCTTTAAGCTAATTGGACTGGAATGTCCACCAAGGGACTGGGCCATGTGGCCTGTGGTCAGACAGTGTTTTACCATAAGGCTACAAGTAAAATTAGGATTCACTAAATGAAAAGAAATGATAGCTCGATGATACTAAGACTATTAAAAATTAACAATCAGGAAAACAAATATAAAAGTAATCTATACATTATAATCTGCATGAAACTAGGGCTACTAAGGCAAAACATCATATGGTTTCAATGGAAAATCCAGAAGTAAATGCACTCTCTGGACCAGAATATGGTCAGATTTTGGTCGAGAGTCACCTGTATGTTACATACAAGCAAAAAGTATGGTTGAGCAGAGGATATGCAACAACTGACAACAAAACTCGATTCACAAAACCCAACAAAAAACCAAACTTTAAACAAAAGATTCTTAACAATCAAAACTATCATTGGGATTCATCAAACTTCTAAATGATATCAAAAAGAGAGGAAATTTCCTTACCTGAAATGGAGAGAACACAGACAAGGTGGTTGGAATAGGTAGTGAACGGTACAGCACTGAAGCATGCTGGACCACACCACCCAGACCAGTGCACCACCCCATCCAGGGTCACTCAACTTTCAAGAAGGGGATCTAACTGTCTACAGTAAGCACAGGTGTAGTGGGCTAAACCAAGTTGAAACTCCAAAAGTAAAAACAAAAAATTTTAAAGGGGACTAGTAAACAAAAAAGGGGCAAGGCACATCTCTTACATCTGCACCAAACGCTCCAGGTTTTAATTAAAAATGTAGGCCCAAGTGCTTGTAAGCAAAAGCTTCATCTACACAGATTCCTCTCTGGTACCATTGAGTGGTCTCACAGCCTCGCAGTCCTGAGAGGTGTCAGCACAACGGCCGTTAAATTCTGGAAGATCAAGGTTTGGAATTTCTGAACAAAGTGTTTTACAAAGTCATTTAATCTCCATCATTAATTGAAAAACAGAGTGCACAGTTTGGGCACACAGAAACATAAATGACTTGGAAAAAATGAATCAAATAGTGTGCTTAAGTTTACTAAACAAAGGTCACGCAGACGAATAACTGTAATGTGCAGAGCGCTGCGTGGGCTCTGTTTTTTTTTCGCAAGTAAGTCAGTGTTCCCACATGGTTTCTGGCGATCTATTCCTCTGTGAGTGATTCCCATTTACAACTTCCACTGTTGGAAATATTGCTGATGGTGCATCCATCACGACCTTAGGCACATGTTTTTTGGAGGGAGGGGGTAGGGCTGCATAATTTCAAATGGCTAGGACGAGAGGTTAATTCACAATACTCAAAGTCAGCGTGCATGTTGTTGACTTAGTAACGCAAGCTTAGTTTAATACCTTCATTTTCTGCAAATTTCTGAGCGTCTTTCTTACTCTGCAAAAGAAAGAGAACTTGATTTCAAAATTTAACCCTACGACATTGACAAAATTATACATAGATCTTCAAAAGTAGTTTAGGTCTCCTACACACAATTTTCCCAGATCTCTTATCATGGGTTTCGCCACAGTTTTCATGTGGGGAGGGGGAAAAAATCTTTTCCCAAGATGGACAGATCCGGAAAGGGCAGAGCAAGCACTCAACAGCAACGAAACAGTACAGAAGGAGTTTGCCGATTTTTAAAGGCAAATTGGTGATAATCGTACTCCTTTTCCTCCCTCTCCTGACATCTGTTTCTCAAATAGATTTTTCAAATCTAATGTGAATGATTCCACCCGTTTTAAAACCCTATTGCAAACAAATGTGGGCTAGTTTGTGGGCGGCAAACAGTAAAAGAGGCGAATCCCATTTGCCCTTACTCGACCAATCGGGTTAGCAGAGCTTTCACGACAGCTGCATGCCTTTGGGCTAAATGTCATTTTTGTCTCCTCGTGCCTTCCCAAAAGCCTCATATCCCCTCTGTGTTGATGAGATGGGGGTGGATGCGGGAGTCTTGGATGAGGTGTTATAAGACAGCACTGCGGTCACTGCTTCGAGGGATAAACCAAACTTATACCTTCTTGAGGGGATCTCGTGACCGTTGCCAAAGCTAAAGTCCGTCAGTGGTCATACTCATTATTGAAAGTGCCGAAAGATGTAGCTCTAACAACAGATGTTAAATGTTACTGTCAGAGTATGCTACAAGAAGAAGTAGTACAAGAAATCAGTAGCATGCACTAGTTTCTAGATCGCGATAAAATATAATTCACGACCCACATCTTAACATTCATGGGATATTGTATATGGGACTTAGTTTGAATCTGGGTTCTGAAACTAAGGCATATGCAAAACGTATTTCGTTGTTCTCGTACCTTTGTTTCATTTTTTCGTCTGGTGCTTTTAATCTAAAACAACAGAAAATAGGAAAACTAGTAAGTGTTTTTTTCAGTTACAGCCATATAGTTTTGTCATACACAAGTAAGTTGAGTTTCGTAGTTTTCGGTTTTAATTTTATATCGTACTCCATTCGTTTTCAGTGCCAAATATAGATTCTGAGGACAGGAACATTTATTTCTTTATGTTTAAAATGACGATATCTCAGACTTTTACACAAGTTTGACAATTAAAGTAAATGTCTCAAATAATACACATATTTTATCTCAAATATATAACATAAAGGAATGGCTGGAGTAATAGTGATGTTTTGTATCCCATTGAACTATTGCGTCTATGAACTCCAGGCTCAAACCCACCTTGCAAATGGCCATGGCCAAGAAAATGTTGACAGTGATTGACAGAGCAGCAGTAACTGTGACTGCAATCAAAGCATTTGCAATGCTGTCTGGCTTGTCGGTTGTTGCCGATATAAGACCCATTGCTTCCCTCATGACAGCTGTGGTCGTTTGAAGTGATGTTAAATCTGCATATCGAATCAGAAATTCGTTATAAAGTGACTCAAAGTGTGGCTAAACCAATCCTACTAACCGTCATTGTCATGTTTCCCACTGATAACAATTATCTCCACTGTTGTTGCATCGCTCCCATTTGTGTGCAGAAGTAAGACGTAACCCATATCACACATTTTGCACACAGACAAATTTTAAAAGAAGTGCAATTTCTAGGATTTATTCTTACAAATGGGTCATTAGCGAGACATTTTGTGGAAAATTTGTCAACCTTAGGGAAACATCGGTCAAATTGAAATGTCTCCCTAATGCTCTAACTACCAGTAGGAGGCCGAATTTTAGCGTCCAAATTTTGAGAGATGATAGATTACGGTCTAAATTGAAAACATACAAAGTTTGGTTCAGATCAGATTAGGGAATATTTAATTATGGGGCAGTAAAGTTTGTGCACGTTCCCATGGGAATGTCTCCCAAGTGACTCATTTTCGGTAAAACAGTATTTCTGCAACTATTAACAAACTTTTCAGTGCATGCATTAAACATCATTGGTGTGAATACCATGACCCATCCTTTCTGAGCTTAGTGAGTGACAGCAAAGAACGCCTAGAATTTGTCCACTGTGTAGCAAAGGGCAGTTCAGGCTCAAAGAAAGCATAGGGATTGAGACTATCAGATAAAAAGCCGCTAAAAAGGTACGATCGGGACCGTCAATGCAAACCTGGGACGCTGGCAGCCAAACACAGAGGCAAGGGAAAAATTCAAAGTTGGGAAGCAGAAAAATTTCCATGTAGACTTTAAGGAGTGCCACAGTCAATATTTCTAACTTAAACCACACAGGACAACAATTGTACTTTCGACGACTGAAGAAATCCTTTTGTGGCTATGCGCCTGAGTTTGCGTTAAATCTTCTGATATATTAAATTGATTTATTAAAGAAGTTCAAAGATTTGACATATAAGATTTTTATTTTTAGGGCATCAACGGCAATTAAAAATGAGCAAGATTCAGAATTTTGACTTTTAGAATTCACCCTTGTGTTCCTGATCTCCAGTTCGAGTTTTGCATTGCTTAAAGTAGTAACAAAATTATAAGTTGAATGAAAAATGACCCAATTCTAAACTAAGTAATTTCTTCAAATATTGCCCCATTTGTGCTATTGGCTGGTTCACTGTTCAATAGACATAGGGTTTTTGTGCTATTGAACTCTTCGTTGTTCACAAGCGTCAACAACCTGAGTAGTAACACGTACCACTTTTCTTTGAAAAGAGACTTCTTTAAAAAAGTATGGAAGACAAAAAAGGATGATGAGACTGCACTGCGTTTAAAGATGCTGGAGATCTGCAATGTACTTTGAACAACCAGACAGACCATCCTAAAGCACAGATGGTGATAATACCAAACGAATAAGCTGTGAAATTTGACCGTGTATAAAAGGACTTCGAACCCACCACCATATAGCCTGTCACCACTGCCTACATTTAGAACAAATGTACAGGCTCACGTGGCGTTGTTTGGAGTACCGGATATTCCATGACAGTTGCCGTCACACGACTGCCATTCGTGGCTCCAAGTGCTTCCCCATACGCTTCACATCTAAACTTCTTGTCATTCACTTTGGTTGATGAGAGGGGAAGAGATGTTGAGGTCGTGAAAGTGTTTTCCAAAACCTCACCTGACGACAAAATAAGCCACAAGCTATCAGTGTTAGCGATGACAGCGTCTGAAGCTTAGATTACAAAATGTGTTGATGAGTAAGTCAACTGATTAACTATGGACAAAAATTGGACTTTTGCTTCCTCTCCAGATAGTGTTGACTAAATTAATTCTGTTTCGCATTAATTCATCTAGATCTATCATGAGCAACATGAAACATGGCGTTTCATTTACAGCATATCGATTACCCTAATCCATACTCTCTTGATCTAAACCAAACGGGGACAACTAACAAGGCATTTGCACACTGGTGTAATCAGTGAGGGCTAGGGCAACTCTGTACGTTGATTGCTTTTCGGTAACGCAGTAAACCCCCTTTTCAGAGAACATTCCTCACCCAACCCTGCACTCAAAATTGGATACACCACTGGCCTTGGTAAGAACTTCACCCGATACTCACTCTGTTCTACATCAAACCTATCGCTAAGAAGTTCTATCCCGCCGTCACTATATACGAGAAACCATCGAAGAACCACAGCTGGCTTGACGTTCCGTACGGAGCATGTCAACCTCGGTTTCATGACGTCGTGCGAAAACACTGCCTTGCATTCAGACTTTGGGGCTCCTCGGGTGCACTCTGTTACCTCTGGAAAGGGTTCCTTAGGAGAAACTAGAAAATGAAGAGACCAAAAAATAACTGGAGACCAATGCTAGGAGACGCCATTAACGCAGTGACACTGCATAGCGAGCGTAACACCGGTGTGCGAGTGCGGTGTCACCGCAATAATGACTTCTCTTTCTGGTTGCCAGATTGGCATAGACACACCTTATAACTACCCATGAGCAAATTATAACGCGTCATTTGTCGATTTTGCCTCGCGACCAGGAAGCAGAACAGACACGCGCCCATGGGTGGCGCTCTTCCCGGTGAGTATCCAGCTGCCTGCCGTGCGGTAGCTTTTTCAGGCAAGCACCAAAAATTCTCTGTGGTGCCTGCCTCGTAGACTTGTATTCTGTGGCATATACTTTAATTTTAACAGAACCAGTCCGTTACACTTCTTGCGAGACACACGGAGCTCTGCAGCTGCGAAAAAATTCTATGCTGACCTGGAATTTAATATTTTGTCAAGTTTGCTCACGAATGAGATGTAGCATTACAAACAAAACTTTGGGGGGGTCGTATTGGGAGGTAGTCCAGTCGACTTTCACCTCTGGACTAGCAATTCCTACTACCCTCAAACCATGCTGTTTTTGTATAATACCAATCAAGGACACAGCTTCAAAATTCGCCACATTTCAAAATTTCATTTTAAAATAGCGAATACGATGCAAAGTAACCAGCTGCAACAAATTTTAGCCAAAGAGAGACAAAAGTCAGAGGTAACAGAGCTGCCTAAGATAACCCTAAATGTAGTGCAAGAACATAACAATGTAAGAACAAGAAATTTTTCTTTTACAAATCCCCAATAAAAGCGGGGCGAGCGGTAGCCTGTATAGCCAATCTCAACAGTACCAAGGAGCCCTTATCCCGCACAGCGAAATGCAAACCTAATGAAATAACCACACACCTTTGACAGCCACGGTGACGTGGCCGTCGACGACCATTCTCAGTCTCGGCTTGGCTTTGTAAAAGTAGATCCCCTCATCGGAGTCGGTGACGTTTTCGATGACCAAAGAAAAGTTACGGTCGATATCGTAGACACCCTCAGGGATACTGTTTTGTGGAGCAACCCTACCCCTGAAGGATGAGATTAAAAGGTTTCCATCTTGCACTCGGGTGACGTACCAGTACTGAGCGGTGATCTCATGCAGCGGGAGTTGTCCGGACGTGACGGGAGGACACGGAATGACCCCACGGCTCCCTCGCTCAAGGAAGAGGGTCGAGGATGTGACTGGAATGAAAAGAATTTGTGTTATTAAAAATTCAGATCTATCTCAGGAAACCGCTGCCAGAAGTAAACAAATACATGTATCGAAAACCAAATAAAGTCATTGAAACATCGGTTTTGTTTTTTTTTTATTTTGTGTATCCCTTGTAAGTAAAAATGAAAAAAGGACAACAGCCTCCACCAGCTAACAACACAAAACAAACCACCACCAATGAGAGAGACCAGAAAATAACAATTAAGATTATAGGAAAAGAAGCGGATATAATGGAAACATTAGGTTGGAAACTGCATATGAACTGAAACAGATAAACTCATTAAAGATCTGTCAACCTCTTAATTTTGGGGGGGGGATTTGGTTCTCTTTTTAGATGCAAGATCAGGCAAACATAAAATGTATACTATCAGTCCGATACTTTGTTTAACTACATTGCAGGTCTGCAAGGTGTCAGGAAAAACTAAGTACTGAATCCAGTATGGCCAATTCAGTATTCAACTGCGCCTTGCAAATTGTATTTCCCTCTTTTACTTGAGCGGCCTTCCCCCGCCCCGGTACGCGTAGCCAACAGAGAGGGAAGAGAACAGAGGTAAAAAACGACACTCTAACGTACCATGCTAGACGCGTGAGGACTTCTAGGTTGAGGGTACAGACACAGGGAAGTGTGGCGGTGACAGCGGATCCCTTTGCGACTTTCATTGTGATGAATGTCTTGTGACCCGAGTGAGTTTTACAAAAGAACGGCTTTGAATACAAAATATCTTGGCTGTGATCACGATTTAGCTTATCCAGAAGATTTGGATATAATGCCATAAATAAATGTTACAACAGTAGATGATCAGTTCTACTGCTTTTTTAATCGGTTTCTTCTTCATGGGAGGTGTGTTGAACCGTATTTCAAGCGTGCGACATGCGTCTTATCGATCTAAAGAGAAATAAGTTCATGTGCACCAAGTTCTTTGCCGCCTGCTGTTAATACGTAACACATCTTTCACACCTATACATTTAGATTTATCCCCAGTCATCGCTCTTTTCCACTTACATTCCACGGTTCTCTACTTACACTCATTTATTGCCATTCATCAACTTCAGGTTTGTCATTTTGTCTAAACGTTTGGCTGACCTAACACTCTTATTTTTGTGTGAATTCAATGTAATGCGAAGGTCATCTGATGATAAGACAATGTGTGCTAATTTCTTTCCCTCCTGATCTCATGATCACCGATAACGAACAAGGACAATTTGTCGAAGGCGGAGGGATATCCTGCAGATGTGGCATAGATGCCACCTGCTTGCCAGCAAAGGGTCGGGAAGGCTAGAAACTGGAACCCTGATTCTGATCACTTCCACACCTCAATTCATGCAGCGATGTGCTTTATAGGATTATGCTTAAAATGAAGAATTCCGGAATTAAGTGGGAAGCTTTCTGACTAATTGACCTTGATGATAAGGACATCCACATGAATTATGACAGCCGTTCACCACGCTCGATTGAGGAAACTTGGATATACAAGCAATGAATCGTGCCTAATTTTCAATATGTAACAGCGGGCCTACGGTTGTGTGCACATTTGATTTTGTTGCAAGGGTTGTTATTATTTCTTTATTATTGCAATGTTTCTAAATGCACCGTGTACCTTCTAAAATTCAACCAAATGTTCAGTGATGTATAGTCGAGTACTTTTTGAGAACCAAGTTCTCTACCAAATATTTAACTAGTTAGGAGGGAACAAATCTGAAGTACATCGTCATTTTAAGGTACATGCATAAAGGTAAGATTACAAAGCAACATAATGACTTCAGACCATCACTGTTTGATT